CCGAAGAAGGCGAAGGAGAGCTCGGCCAGCTCGGTGAGCTCCAGTACTGGTAAGCGGCCAGCGCCCCCCGATAGGGTGACCGACTAAAGGGTCCGTTTGGCAGGTTCGACCAGCAGCAGCGACAGCGAATCCAGCGACGACGACTCGGACAAGGAGGGCGGCCGGGGGGCCCCCAAACGGCCCGGTTCCGGTTCTGAGGCGGAAGCGGTGACGCGCAAGCTGACGCGCTCGGCGAGCACGCGCAAGTCGAAGCACGTGCTCGGCAAGGCCCCCTACTCGGACAGCGACTCGGACACGGAGAGCACGAAGCGCTCGCCCAGCCGCTCGCCCGTCAAGCGGGCGCCGCCCGCCACCAAGGGCAAGGCGAAGAACACGAAAAAACCCGATAGCAAGTCGAAGCGCAGCGAGGTGGTGATCGTGGAGCGCACCTGCCCGCTAGAGGGCTGCACCAGCGCCGGCCACCTGAGCGGCAAGTTCGACACGCACTTCATCCTGGAGGCGTGCCCCGCCTACCACAACGTCACGCTGGCGAAGTGCGGCAGCGAGCTGGCGGAGCGGCGCAAGCGCGAGGAGGCGCGCCAGACTGCGCAGCAGCGCGACGCCGACCACCAGGCGAACCTGGCGCGCATCCGGGACCTGCGCGCCAAGTTCAAGCAGGAGCCCATGGAGGGTGCGCATGTGAGTGTGCTGAGCCGCTGACGGCCCCACTGACGCATCTCTTCTTGCAGACGTCAAGCCGCAGCTGGAGAAAACCCGGGAGCCCGAGCTGAGCAACTTCGTGCCCGAGTACGACCTGACGCTGTTCCGGGACGCGCAGGCGCTGGCCAGCGAGCGCATCGAGGCGGAGCTGAGGAGCCTGCCGAGCACCAAAGGTAGGCCGGCAGGGCGCATCGCGCCCCCCCGCACTCACCCCCCACGCTGCGCAGGCACCAAGTCGATCGAGATGGGCAAGTTCGAGATGGAGGTCTGGTACCAGAGCCCCTACCCGGAGGACTACGCGCGCCTGCCCAAGCTCTACATCTGCGAGTACTGTCTGCGCTACATGAAGTCGCGCACCATCCTCGAGCGGCACGTCATCAAGTGCGTGTGGCGCCATCCGCCGGGCGAGGAGGTCTACCGCAAGGACAGGGTCAGCGTGTGGGAGGTGGACGGCAAAAAGTACAAGCAGTACTGCCAGAACCTGTGTCTGCTCGCCAAGTTCTTCCTCGACCACAAGACCCTCTACTACGACGTCGAGCCCTTTCTCTTCTACGTGATGACGCTGGTGGACAGCGAGGGCTGTCACACCGTCGGCTACTTCAGCAAGGTGAGTGGCAGGCAACCAGGCCTACACCGGTGCAACGTTGCAACGTTGCCGGCCCCAAAACAAACCACTCCAATCGAACTATCGACCGGCCCCCGTACCGCTCGTATCGCATTCTAAATTTAGTCCAAACGGCTTCCACCTAGCAACAGAAAGCGGACATTCCGCGGCGATCTTCATCGGTGCAATCTGAAGAATTCGGATGACGTCAGCGCGCCCGTTCCGCTAATGCATTGCGGTCTGGCTCCCGTCGTTGCTGCCCGGCAACCGGCGCAACAATTGCGCCGGTTGGGGGGCGGAGCGGGTGGTCGATTGACAGGTGACAGGCCGGCATGAATCACTCCAAAATGCCTTTGCCGGACTAATTTCGCTTTTTTTTCCGGTCTGCTTGCAGGAGAAGAACTCGTTTCTCAACTACAACGTGTCGTGCATCCTCACGCTGCCCCCCTATCAGCGCCAGGGCTACGGCCGCCTGCTGATCGACTTCAGTAAGTTCAGGGGGGTTTTTGGGCGCATGTGTCAAGTGGCAGCTGTCACGTTGTGACAGTTGTCACTGGAGGCAATCGATCTGCGTCTGGCTGCGCAACGTAACGCCCCCCTCCCCTGCGGGGCCGTTGACCCGGCTAGACAGAGTGGGGTGGGGGCTGATCTCCCCCAACGTCGGGCTCCTTGCGCCAAATAATCGAGTGGCCTGGGGGAGCCGAGCGCCCCCCCCAGACTCCAGCTTCTTGCGGGCGGGAGACAGACGAGGGGGGCGACTGTTGACCTCGACGCCGATCGATAGGCGACGTCTGGACGGTGTTGCCGCCCCCATTAATATTGGGCGCTGCCTGCGGCAACGCTGTTGAGTGCATCGTTTGCGCCCTTTTGCAGGTTACCTGCTGACGCGCGTAGAGGGCAAAATCGGGTCGCCCGAGAAGCCGCTCAGCGACTTGGGGCTGATCTCCTACCGCTCCTACTGGAAGGACGTGCTGCTCAACTATTTGTGCGCGCGCGCCGGCACCACGCTGTCAGTGAAGGACATCAGCCAAGAGATGGCGATCCACTCGTACGACATCGTGTCCACGTTGCAGGCGCTCGGCATGATGAAGTACTGGAAGGGGAAGCACATCGTGCTGAAGAAGCAGGACGTGCTCGACGAGTGGGTGAAACGTCGCGGCCATCTGCTCAAGGAGATCGACCCCGCCTGTCTGCGCTGGGTGCCGCCCCAGAGCCACGTCGCCCTATGAGAGTGCGAGTGAGCTCGCATCGCCGAGTCCGACCAGGTTGGTGCCTTCTCTCTCTCTCTCTATTGCTCCCGGTATATGCGCCAGTTCAACTGTCAGCAACGTCACATTTGTGTCATTGTCATTGGTGGAGTGACAGTTGACGCGCCTGTTGGCAATTGATTGGCGTTGATGACATTGACAACCCGTTTCGATTGGGGCTTTTGAACTGGCGCCAATGTACTGTCAGCTGTCACTGTCATTGGAATGTTTGCGCTGTTTGGTTTGTGGGTCGCGCCGCTCGGAATGGTACCGAAATCGGTCGCGCGCCCAGCCTTGGCCTCGGCCAATCGGCTATTTTTAGCGCGCCCGAACCGGTCGGCGCCAGTGGCGGCGCCCCAAACCCGAAAATTCCCCAGAAAAGGCGGAAATGACGCACGTTTCGGTGCCAGAATGGGCGCTGCGTCACCGGAAAACTCGTCACTGTTGGCTTGTGGTTGCGCCCAATCGGGGCGGCGTTGCCAGTGTCAAATTTTAGCGATTTTCTAGAAAGCAAATCGCGATTTTTTATGCAACTGAGCGGGCGCGTGGCAACCAGGCCGGGTTCCGGCGGGTTCCACACGTGTCCTTGCCGCGACCTTGAGGCCGCCCGCTTAGCAACTGCACGAAGCAGAAACGGGGGCGGCGGCGTGACGTCACGCGCCCCCCTTCTGGGTACCTGACCGAGTGAAATGCGCCCAGAATCAGTGGCGCGCCACCAGCCAGACCGGCCAAATTGAAGCAAATAAAACGGCAGAAAAAACGGCAATCGATGCCAAGTTCAGACGCTGTCGGCGTCTCGACTGACAATCGGGCGCATTTCGCCGGTGTGAACGTGGCTGAGGCGGCGCGCTGTTGCCGGACGGCGCGCAAAGTCCCTGCCCTCGATGCGCTCGGTTGTTCACCTTGGCGAAAAGGTGCCATTGAAACCGATTGGATGCGCTCCGGTGCGTCGGCCCCCGCCCCCCCTTTTGTCTGCGCCGCCCGAGCTTTTTCTTAATTGATTGAAAATCCGCTAAAATACCGTTTTGGTGCCTGTTGGGGCGATCAGGCGCGATCCCATGAATGCAGTCAGTGACTGACACTGTGTTGGTGTGTTGAGTGTCACAACTCATCGGCTGGTGAGTGAGTAACTCATTTCTGGGACCCGGTGCAACTTGGGCAAAGGGAAAATTGCTCTTTTCCTGCTAGAAAAACGCATTTAACCTTGCATTAATCATGTAGATACTAATCGTTTTAACCCAGAATCACGTAGATACAATTGATTAATTGAACTTTTAATCTTCAATGTTATTTTTTAAATTTTTCGATGTTTTCGGTTCACCCTGTGTATATAATTTTTTATTTTTATGCCATTTTAACGTGTTGTTCGAGGAACCAATGTACCAAAAGTATAAATGTAATAAATCACATAAATGCCAAAGTGTGTACATTTCATTTGAAACGCCCTCAATACGTCGCTGAAGAAAACATTAAACTGTGCAAACTTTTAGTTATTTTGTTCACTTCTTCTATTCGAAATTCTTCTTGTATTGCAAATGGCAAAATTCCTCTATCAGGAATGTATGCTTGTTATAGTAAAGGTCGTCTTGACTTTTCTCGATATTTTCTCTATAGGAATCTATGGGATTGTTTGGGATGTTTTTCTTATTTCAATCACCATCTGTGTTCAAACTAAGTTAGGTTAAAAAATTATTATCGACTAGGGATGGGCGGTAGATTATCGGATCTTTTATGTGTCTAAAAATAAAGCAGCGTGGAACAACGTGTAGTTCAACTCAGTTAACATATATTATTTCAAAACTTACAAAAACTTAAGTAAATTGAATTTAATAAAATGAAAAATATATGGTGGGCTGCGATATTTTTCCCTCATAAAATTTACATTTTTATTAGCAACAAAGATTATATACATAAATAATCTTTATTTCCTACAGAAGAAGGCTATCGACCCAATCGGTCTTTCTGCCCTTGTCTAGTACATATGTGTCTTAGCCTAGCTTATTCTGAAATTAATTCCTATTTCTAGCACTCCTATCAACTAATCAATGATAAAAAAAATAAATTCTCAGATTATTTTATTAGTGTTTTGGCATATTTTTCTTAAAAACGCAAAATAGTGCCATGGGCACGTTTTATTACTGTTAAAATTATTTTGTTTTATTTTATTATATATGTTTATAATAATGTTATGTCTAACGTCTCGTGACCCAATAAATAATAAAAGTGATAATTAGGATAAGACTTCATTGTAAAAACGGCAAGTCCGTAAATATTATTATTATTATTAATGCTATTATTGTAACTTCTAATTTTGTGTATAACTTTTGTTAAATAAAATAACATATTATTATAAACTAAAATTGTGTTGGATTTTCTTTATAATTGTTATAATCTTTAATATTTTAATTATTTAAAAAAAATTCTTTCAACGCTTAATCTTCAACTGATTTTCGGTAGACGTTTTAAATCGGAAATAATTTATTTTATCGATGTTTCAAATCATTCGGTAAATATATAATAATATCTTCCTCACTTTCTCTCTCTCTCTTTCTATAATAACGATTCAAATCAGCTGAAATCTGGCAACACTGTAGTCAGAGTCAAATGCAGATTTTCGTTTGTACGAGGGCAGCAGCATGTTGAAGGAGGTAGCCAGCGAATATTAGGAGGAGATTCGTTTTTAGCGTTAGCGTTCCCTTATTTTTAATGGGGGTGTAGCAAGTCTCTAATGAAAAAGTTCTGATGGCAACTGCAAATTTTCTTCGTTTCTACCAGGGCAGCAGCATGTTGGAAGAGGTAGCGAGCGAATATCAGGAGAAGATACGTTTTCAGCGTTAGCGTTCCCTTAATTTAAATGTGGGTGTAGCAAGCCTCTAATAGAAAAGTTCTGATGGCAAATGCAGATCTTCGTTTCTACCAGGGCAGCAGCATGTTGAAGGAGGTAGCGAGCGAATATCAGGAGGAGATTCGTTTTTAACGTTAGCGTTCCCTTATTTTGAACGTGCGTGTAGCAAGTCTCTAATGGAAAAGTTCTGATGGCAAATGCAGATTTTCGTTTSTACCAGGGCAGTAGCATGTAGGAAGAGGTAGCGATCGAATATCAGGAGATTCGTTTTTAGCGTTAGCGTTCCCTTATTTTGAATCTGGGTGTAGCAAGTCTCTAATTTTGATTTTTGCTCGCCACCCGCTTAAACATGGTGCTGATTTGATACAAAACGAAATCTTCATGGTCGGCAAAGTTTCGTAAATAGAGAGCACCTACAACGGGGGAAAAATAGCGTAACGCTAAACTCCTGCTGCTGATTTTTCGTCACTACTTTGTGTGGCTCATTGTCGCCTCTGTTGGCACTTGGGTTGAAAAAGGGTGAAAGAAAACAAGTGAAAGAAGCAGTAAAATGTTCTTTATTGGTCAATTTGGAAAGTATTGGCTGTAAAACTCGCGAAACATTGCGAATATTCCATCGTCGTCGCCGTCGGAAAATTCTGGAGAACCCAGAAAAGTAACAATTTGACTTTCGTGACAACTCGGCCACCCTGTACAGTGGTGCCAGATCGTTCCGATGAAAAAACCGTCTCAACAACGTTCCTGTCCAAATTTAAACAATTGACACTAAAAATAGCACTGAACGAACGATCGGAGCGTCAGTCGCCGGTGACGCACGCGGCTTCCACTTATTTGTTGTTTGTTATCGTTTTTATTAAGAAAATGCCAGATTGGGCGCCGCATCCGGGATGAATCACCTTTTTTCCCTGGGCGTGCGCCACTGGCGCGCCGCCACGTGCCGACCTTGCGGGATGAACTGCATGTCCGGCGCTGCGCGTTTCAGCTCGCCCGTCTAGACGGGGGCGTCCGTTGACGTCACCCGGCGGCGCCCTTAAGCCGACGCGCTTTCACCCACCCCCCCCTTACACCGCCCGTCTGACACTGACACTTGGTGTCAAACGGCTTGACGTTACCGTCTGCATGCGTCATTTTTGAGGTTTGTGACAGTTGCGTCTGTCACCCAACATCGATAACGGCCCAACCAAACAAAGCTGTGCCGAGAAAGTGGCCGATCGAAACGGGCCGACGAACCGCACTGGGAGGCTGTCCGCGAAAAAACCCAATTAATTTTCGACAGTTGCCAAATGGCGACCATCAAAATCCCCAAGACTGAGCAGCGAATGCCCGAAACTGCAACCGCGGGGCGGCGCGGGGGTGCGGGGCGGCTGTCGGCGGCCGCGCCGCGATGCGACGGTTCACGTCGCGGTCGTTAAGTTAGGTTAAGGACCTCCAGACAGTCCGGTTCACACCAGGGTGCGACGGGCGCGTTCGGCCTGTCTCGGGCGCGCTCGGCGCCCGGCTCGCCTCCGATTGGTCGGCGCGCGATCAGCTTCGGTTCCTACGCCGGCCCCGTCGTCAGCTCGATCACTTCGTTCGGGTCGGTCGGCGCGGTCGCTTCGGCTCGCTCGGCTGCTTCGGCTCGGGCTCGCATCGGCCAGCCGAAGGCCTTTCGCCTGACAAGTGTGGCGATCTGGGGCGGCTGGGCGACCGCCGTCGGTGTGCGAGGCGATCAGCGATCTTCAGCCTTGTCCCCAAACGCGCTCATTGGGCGGCTCGCGACGCCGATCCCGCATGGTAACAGGCGGCCGTTTCGCACTACGTGGGATCAGCACGCTTTTTTGCGCCGCCGAAGGTTCCAGACGCTGACGTCATCGCGCTCGCCGACCGGAACCCTGCCTGCTCCCCAAAATGTTGTGCAATCTGGTGCAACCGCCGGTAAGTAGGGCACGTGCCGCCCTTTCAGCGCCCCCTAACCTGCAAACCGACCAACCGCATGGCCGCCCTGAGGACGGCCGAGTCGTGGCATCCGGCCCGAAAATAGCTGCTGATCAATCGCACAAAGAGGCTTTGTGTCCGCGTGAGTCACGTCTGTTGACGACTTCCAGCGACGTCTGGCAACCAGGCCCTACCCCAAATGCGTCAGCGTTGACCTTGCCGATTTGGCACATCAGGTAGAGAACCGGTTCCCGGAGCCCCGCCCCACACGGGTTCCAGTGGCGTCGCTGTGGGCGCTACCTCGGTGCCTCCGACTGCTCTTTGGCACCAGTCAGGTACCTGAAGTAGCGCGCGCAGCGCCCCTCAGTCTCGCCGCCCCGGAGGCCCACTAGCAGGGCGCGGTTGCCAGCCTCCTCAGTCACATGCCTATTGTACTTCATCAGGTGCTCTGGTATCCTCAACTCCCGACACCTGTTGGAGTACACTAATTATGTGACAGCGATCCCCCGGACAGCTGCGGAAAGCCGCCCCAGCTGGCAGCAGCGCATTCGTTCCTGTCAACGCGCCCAACTTCACATGGATGGTTGTAGTGAGGGCGGAGCACTCGCTGGCAACGTCGCCGGCAGGCCTCGCTCCCAAACAATTAATGCACTGTGTTTTGCCCTAGTGGGGGAAATAAAACTGTTTATCCTCGAATTGCCGCATTTTCAGTTCCCCGACCAGTTCCCGAGTATTTAAAAATTTGTTTAGTCCAGATTAAAAAATCGGGTGCAACCACGCCCAGCGTTGGCAACGCCGCCCACTTGCAGGTTAGCGCGGCCGCGCGCACAGAAGACGTCAACGCATGACATTGACGCCCGTAAACAAAGCGAGCGCTGGCCCCAATGGCAGTTTCGTGCAAAAGGGGGGCCCTGTGAGAGTGCGCCATGTTCCGCAGCGGCGGCAACCCAAAGGGCGACTTCCTCGAGCTGACCAAGGCGGCCCGGGAGGAGCGGGCGCTCGAAAAGCGCCGCGAGGCGGCCGCCGTCCTGCTGCAGGCGAGCGTGCGGGGCTGGCTGGCGCGCCTCAAGTTCGCCGGCGCCATTCTGTGAGTAGTCGACGCGCCCGGGGCTGCGCCCCCATTACACGCGGCTGCCTTTCAGTGAGGAGTTCGATCGGGCGCTGCCCGACCAGTGCACCAAGCCGGCGCCCGAGGTCTACCAGCTGGGCGTGCGGCTGCTGCTGGTGTGGCGCAAGGGGCGCGACACGGAGCGCTTCGCCAAGCTGTGCCGCTACCTGGTGGCGTCGCTGGACTGCGACTCGCCCAAACTCAGCTACGTGGGGGTGGGTAAGTGGCGCCAGCCATCACCCGAGCCACTAAACTAACCGAAGCGGGGGCGCAGCCCTAGGCAAGGAGCACGTGCTCCAGTGGATCGCCCACATGAACCGCGTCCTCTGGACGTGCTGCGTCTACCTGAACGACCTCAAGCCCGAGCTGGCCGCCGACATGAAGGCCATCGTGCTCTTCCTGCACGTGCTGGTGGCCTTCACCAGCACCAACACCTGGGCGGTGCTCAAGATCAAGGCCATGGCGCCGCTGCGCGGCGGCATGAACCAGCTCTGCGCCAACCTGATGGGGCAGCTCTTCCACAAGGGCTTCTATCTGGTCCTCAAGGTACCCCACCTCAACAGGCCCCCGAAGGGCCTGTTCACCCCGCACTGTTTCAGGGGCTGCTGATCCGGGGCCTGGGCCGCCTCAAGGCCGCCTCCGTCTCGGCCGTCATCACTTTGGGGCTGCGCCCCCTCGTCTCCGCCAACTTCTCCGACAAATTCATGACGATCTTCCTCATCAACGTGCTCGCAGTGCCGGCGCTGCTGCATCACCTACAAGCCGCGTCGTCTGAGGTACCCCCTCACGCAGAGGGGCACTTTCCCACTCACTCACTCACTCACCGGTTGCAGAGCATTGCCACGTTGCAACATCACCGAATCTTCACCAGAACGTTGGAGCTGCTGTCCAGCCAGCAGTCGATGCGCATCGTGTTCAACGCACTAGAGGGCAGCTACGCGCTCTGTCTGCTGGCCAACCTGATCCAGATGGCGCACCTGGAGCGCCACTCCACCCTGCCCAGCCTCTGCTTCCCCACCTTCACGGTCAGCCACTCCCCCCCCTTTTTGCTAGCCAGGCTAAGCCCCGCCCCTTGCAGGTGGTCGTCACCGGGCTGCTGGAAAGCTGCCAGAACTACGTGGTGAGCAAACAGTCGACGCTCACCCACTGGCACCCGGTGCTGGGCTGGTTCGCGCAGCCGCTSGATCCGGGCCTGCACGCCGCCATCGGCCCCATCAAGGCGCAGCTGCAGCTGCTGTGGCACGTCGACGTCATCCAGATCCTGCTGGGCCACTTCCTGGCCCGGCTGGTGGAGGGGGCGGCTCCGCCCGCCGGCCCCGCCCCCGCACAGCCGCAGGGCTTCTTCAAGAAGATGCTGGAGAAGGGCGGGGCCAAGGCGGGCGCGCAGCGCCCCTACCGCCCCCTGGGCAGCCCGGAGGTGCACCGCGTCGTGCTGATCTGCTCCCTCTTCCACACCGCCCTGCACACGCTCACCCAAATGCAGCTGGACATCCTCACTGGTAAAAAAGCAAAAAAAAAGTGTTCAAAACTCCTTTTTTGGCGCAGGCCTTTGCTACCAGAACACCATCCTGTACGACCTGTGGCTGTTCCTGTGCTCCTTGGGGCCCACCTGCGGGCTCAAGACGTTCCTCGACCATCTGGCCTTCAACACCAAGTGCTCCGCCCCCGAGTTCCAGATGCTGCAACTGTTCGCCGACTGCATGACGCACTATGTCACGTGAGTAGCTGTCCCCCCCCACTCACTCGCCCACTGACTGACTGTCACCCGCCAGCCTGCTGGACGACATCGAGATGTACGAGAAGCAGCGGCTGTTCCGATTGGGCGACTTCGTCGCCCTGTCCCACTTCCTCAACGTGTTCCTCTACAAGGCGGTGCTGGGCAACCTGTTCGGTAGGGGGCGGGGCTTGGCAGCGGGCGCCTGTGCTGATTGGCCGGCTTTCAGACATCAAGTCGATTCAGAGCAACTCGCTGTTCCAATCGCTGCACACGCTGCTGATGGTGCTCTACAAGCGCGACTGCTGGCGCAGCTACACGCCCCCCGACCATTGGCTGGTGCGCGACATCAAGGTGGCCGCCTTTCTGGCCGACCTGGAGAAGGGGCGGCGCGCCCCGCAGCTCCTGCTGCAGACCACGCCCCACATCATCCCGCACGAGGACCGCGTGCGCCTCTTCCGCAAGTACATCGCCAATGAGCGGACCGTGCTGGGGCTCACTGAGTCGGCGTGCGCCGCCAGCCAATCCACGCTCATCACCGTGCACAGGTGATGAGCCCCTCCCTCTTTCGGGCCACGCCCACACTGACCGCGTTTGGGGTTGACAGGAACCGCATAGTCGAGGACGGCTACCGGCAGTTGACGATTCTGCCGCCGCAGGCGCTCAAGGGCGTGATACGCGTGCGCTTCATCAACGAGTACGGGCTGGACGAGGCCGGCATCGACCAGGACGGCGTCTTCAAGGAGTTCCTCGAGGAGAGCGTGAAGCGCGTCTTCGACCCCGCCCTCAACCTGTTCAAGGCGACCAGCGAGGAGCGGCTCTACCCCTCGCCCACCTCCCATCTGCAGGACAACCATCTGCAACTGTTCGAGTTCACGGGCAAGATCCTCGGCAAGGCCGTCTACGAGGGAATCGTCGTGGACGTCCCGTTCGCCTCGTTCTTCCTCAGCCAGGTGCCGCCCATCGCTTTCACGACATTGGGGCGAATGCGCCCGATTTGCTCCGTTTCAGGTCTCCGGGCAGACGTCGCAGGCCATGTACAGCTCGGTGGACGAGCTGCCCTCCCTGGACCCCGCCCTCTACCGCAGCCTCAGCTACGTGAAGCACTATGAGGACGACGTCGCCGATCTTAACCTCACTTTCAGCGTCGATGACGACCATATGGGGCGCGTGGTGACGCACGAGCTGGTCCCGGGCGGGCGCGCCGTGCCCGTCACCAAGGACAACATGTAAACGCGCCCTCACATTGCCGCGCTCCCGTAACTCCCTCTCGCGGTTGCAGCATCAACTACATCCACCTGATGGCCCACTTCCGGATGCATGTGCAGATCAAGGAGCAGACGGCGGCCTTCATCAAGGGCTTCCGCTCGATCGTCAACCCCGATTGGCTGACGCTCTTCTCCACGCCCGAGGTGAGTAACTGGAGGGGGGCGTGGCCATGGACTGACTCTGACCAATCAGCTGCAGCGGCTGATCTCGGGCGACAACGTCCCGCTGGACCTGCGCGATCTGCGCAAGCACTGCCAGTACTACGGCGGCTTCCACGACTCCCATCGCGTGATTGGCTGGCTGTGGGACATTCTGGAGCGCGACTTCAGCGACGAGGAGCGGCGCATGTTCCTCAAGTTCGTCACCAGCTGCTCCAAGCCGCCCCTGCTGGGCTTCGCCCATCTGGAGCCGCCCTTCTCCATTCGCTGCGTCGAAGTGGGCGACGACGAGGACACGGGGGACACCATCGGTGCGTCACTCGCCCCTCTCATCACCGCGCGCCGTTTCAGCGTCTTTTTCCCTCGGTTGCAGGCAGCGTCTTCCGCGGCTTCTTCACCATACGGAAGAAGGATCCGCAGAACCGGCTGCCCACCTCCTCCACCTGCTTCAACCTGCTGAAGCTGCCCAACTACCAGAAGAAGGGCACGCTGCGCGAGAAGCTGCGCTACGCGGTCAGCTGCAACACCGGCTTCGAACTGTCCTAACCTCACCTGTGCTGTGATTAAGCCGGCGGCTGTATTAGTGCGCATGGACGCTATGGGCCCCCCCCGAAAGGGGGCCCCAGTGCAATTTATTCACTTGAGATCCATAGTAGATGTTTTTCACTTTAGGCGAGCCGTTTCATTTTGGGGCCTTCTCCCCTACGTCACACTGTCACCACTAACCGTCATCGGGAGACAAACAACAGCGCATATCCATCCCGCTCTAGACTGGCTGTTCTGAAAAAGATGGATATACTGCAAGTTTTCCGCTCGTACCTGACAGGAGCCTCTCACTGACTATTAAACGAACGAGGACAAGTGCCACGTTGCCGCTCAACGCTTGACGTATATCGATCCTGCTCTGGACTAGCTGATGTGAGAGAGACGCAGCCAGTCCGGGCATGAACCTGCTAACTGCACGCGCCAACTTTTTGAAGAGGGGCTCAGGCCTGGGATCAGTTTTCGCAAAAAAACCGTGCCAGAGGCACTCACTCACTGACTAAACGGCGCTTCTCCACTACCCAAGTAGTGGGCCTCCTATGCTCTAGCGGCTTTTGCGCTCTTACCTTGTCGGAATGCGCTGCAAAGCGCGCGATCGGTATTCTGGGGAAACGGGGCCTTGCTTTCCATCCCCGGGAGGCACTCACCCACTCAATTCACTCACTAAAAGGCGATTTTCGCCTCAAAAACGAACCGGAGGACGTTGACCCGTCAGCTCACTGACAGGCAGGCAAGCGCCCGGCTGCCGCCAACGCGCGCAGGGCATCTGCCACAACAATCGTCTGTCCTGCTCTCGACTAGCATGGGCGATCGCGATGGACATAGTGTGGGCTTCGACAAAGCAGGGGAGCGACAACTGGTCTTATGCTGCCGCTTTCCTCTGAATTTTCAGTTAAAACTGTGTTTTTTGCGCTGTTTGCGTCCATGTCCATGGGGCGATTCGAAATCGGTAAAATACGCAAATTTGGGCAGAAAAAAACGAAATTTTTGACATTCCTTCACACTCTATATTCCCACAGATCAGACAACCCGGACTGTCAAACCCATCAGCCGCGTCATCGCTCATGCGCGTCGCCAAAGCGTCCCTCTTGGTCTTGGACGGGTGGTGGAAATTAAAAAAATCTATTAAATTAAGTTGAAATACTCGAAAAAAGGCATCAACTAAAAATAACGCGCGCGCCATGAAAAACAGGCATCTAAATCAAGCGGGCTCGGACACACTCGCAAAAAAATAAACGACGATTATTGAATATGGAGCGCGATAAATTAGCAAAAATTCGACTTTACGATGCGATTTAATGTGCCGGATCATAAATTTGCGGCGACCTTTAATATCGGCCGTAAAATGCCGCCAAATAACCTCCAAATAAATATTTACGTTTGGCCAGTGTGGCGTGTTCTGGCTTTGCGGTGGTGCTCCACGGGAATTTGAATAGTTTTCAATTAACAGATTTTTTTCCCGATGTGCACCGTGCGCCCCTGCACTCGAACCAGTTCGATCCGGCCGGCCTGGGCTTTGGCAAAGGTCGCGACAATTCGCATTCTCGAAATAAACCATCTCGCCCGACCGACAAAAATCGCCTCTTGTCTGTCGGGCCCGGTTGGAAAATGCG